GTGTGCCCTCGATGTGACAGAGTGGAACTGGCCCGGAGGGCTCCCTGAGCCGGAAATCTCGGCTGTAGCAGACCGCCACTCCCTCTCTTCATGAGCTGCTGGTGGGCTCAGAGCTCCGATCTGTCAGAGGTTAGCAACGGAGTGCTCACATGATTGTCCCACGGCGACTCCTCAGGTGAGCACAGTAGATGCAAGAGACTTAACAAGTCTTGACTTCTTGTCGTTCCCGCTTGTGAAAAGCTAACCACCAGCTCTTCTGGTTGCAAACACCCTTGGAAAGCTTCACTTGCCCTACCTTCATGAAGGCCAGCGAGTGAGGTTCATGGACGCTCTAGGGCAGTGGTTCTCAACCTGTGGGTCGTGACCCCTTTGGGGGTCAGATGACCTTTTCACAGGGGTTGCCCAATTCATAATAGTAGCAAGATGACAGTTATGACACCCCCCCAACTATAAAATTATTTTCATTGCTACTTCCTAACTGTAATTTTGCATACAGTTATGGAAGGGTGGCAGCAGTAGGAAGGTTGAGAAACACTGCTCTAGGGGAGTGAACTAACTTTTCAGTTAGGACCAGGTGCCCCCAAGACAGGGGGCAGATGTCCTGGGCTTTTTCAGAGCCAGTTTACTGTGAAAGAAAGGTGAGTGTTCAAATAGCAACCTAACACAGTATCTGCATCAATTTTTGTTAATGTGAAATAGAGCTAAAGCCATTATTTTAGAGCAGCATATTTTATTGTTAGGACCATAATAAAATAGCACATCTAAACTGACAACCTTTTTTGACCCCAGGATAAAAAAGGATTTTTTATTGTAGTTTTCACCAGAAACATTGATGGTCTTAAGTAGTCTACAATTATTTCTCAGAAATTGCCTAGGTCTTTCCAGAACTCTGGGACCACTCAAAGCCTAACTCCTTGTTCTAGACTGACACCATACATTTAAATGGCACCTTGTTGGAAGTTAGATGCCATGGAACCAGAGCCTCCTCATAGCAATCCTATGCGCAGCAGAAGAAAACACTGCCTGGTCTTGAGTGCGTCATCATCCTGAGAATTGTTACATTTAAGCCCATCGCTGTCGCCAGTATCTCATTGAGAACCTTTCTCTTTTTCGCTGACCTCCTGCTTTAATTTACCAAGCTTGATGTCCTCTACCAGAGACCCCTCCTGATAACATGTCCAAAGTGTGTGAGACAAAGTCTTACTGTCCTTCTTTCTAACAAGCTTCCAGCACAGATTTCTGTGATGTTCTGGTGCTTCTGGCAGCCCACAGTACTTTCCATATTCTCTGACAGCACCATCATTCCAATGCTTTGATTCTTCTTTGGTTTTCCTTCCTCATTGTCCAACGTTTACATGCATATGAAAGCAAGCATGCTGGTCTTGTTTCACTTAACATGTGGTGCATGCTGTGACATAGCATATTATGGGATTTGGTCATCTTATGAACACCATAAATCGTAGCCTGGTCCTACTTGTTCTTTAAGTATCTCAAACAAGCTTTATGCCACAGCATGATCTTCCGCATACTGAGAGAGAGTGTCGTTTTTTGTGTTGGGCCTCCATTCCCATCGTTAGCAATTTTTCTCTTCTTTTCATTAGCCTTGTAGCTTTCGGTGGAGCCAACCCTGTAACAACATGGAGCATATTTTATTTGTTTTTGAGGATGGTGATGGTCCAAGTGCGATAATGCCAAAATCATAAGCAATAGCGTGTTTAATAACCTTTTGTTTCACCTCTGAATCGATGTGTCTCTGCCTCTTGAGGCTGCTATCACGACATTGGTTTTGTTGCGTTTGGGAGCCCTGATGGATCTCATGGTAATATTATTGAAAGACAATTAAACTGCTAACACTACGACACTGGAGCTGCGTGATACAGTTGGCTGCTGCTGCTGCTGCCTGCAGGTTGAAGTATACACTGTTACACTGGAAACTTCTTAAACGAAAGTACAATACAACATAGCCCATGCGTAAGCGAGATACTCACTGGGGCAGTTCTACTCTGCCTTACAGTGTCGTTATAAGTCCGAATTGACTCGGTAGCAATGAGCATAGCTTGACTCAAGATGTATAAGTGAGTTTTGAGTTATTATGTATGTACCAGGCAATAGAGCTGCTTTGTATACAAGAGACACGAGTTAAACATCTTTCATCTAAGAGGCTTTTGTATTCTCTGTGTCCTGTTCTCTGATGGGCATTTCTGATGTATTTTATAACTATGAGACCACTGGTGTATATGCAGATAAATGGTACCTGACTGGATAATATATGGATATCTATATCTGTATATCTATCTATACTATATAAGTAGATATGTAGGTAGATAGGTAGATATGTAAATATCTAGAGAGATAGAGAAATAAAAAAGTAAATAAAATAAAATCCATTGCACTCTAATCACCCCTGGCCCCTAGCAACCCCATATGGGGTGACTGCAAATCTTCACGGGAGCACACAACCTCCTCTTTCTCCGTGGAGTGACAGATGAGCTCGGCTGTCTTGGAGCCAGCAGCCCAAGGTACCACTTCCCATAACGTGCACACACCCTTGCCAGTTCAACAGCGTCGACATGTTTAAGACAGCTGCGTCAATTATGCTCATCACGTTGTACAGTTAGGACCACGATTTTTTTTGTCAAATTATTCCATAAACGTAGTGCTCCCTAAGCAGTGACTCTCCAGGCCCCCCATAAACGCTAATTAACTTTGTTATGTTTGTGTATTTCATATAAGTAGGATCGTTTTTTTTATGGTTGCTTTATTTCATTCCGCATAATATTCACCCCCAGCATAGCACTCAGCACAACGAGGGCCCGTAATGCACGTGTAACGAGGCTCATTCTTGTTACAGCGTGTATCACGACTTCGTATCTCTTCGTGGTCAAGTAATTCATCACGTAATAATACCACGTTGTGTTTACCAGCCGTGTGTCGGTGGCATTTAGGTTGTTTTCTCTCTGTGCAGTGGGAGCATCAGTGTTGGGGTTTGTGCTTGTGTTCTGCTTTCCGTTCTTTTGAATATATTCTTAGGATGGGTGGGGGTTGCAGGGTCATAGGATACAAAACAAAATAAACTCACTGCCCAGTCGACGGTCTTGTTATACTTTTTGCGGGACTGCCCAGGAGCTGTACCAGTTTGCATTCGCATCAGCTATGGATGATGACTGCAAATTGCCCACATCCTTGCCAGCATCTGTTCATTTCTGTTGGCTTGATCACAGCTATTCTCACGGAGGTGAAGTGGGATCTCGCGTGGTTTGGATTGGCACCTTCATAAGTAGCTCTGGTTGCATGGGAACTAAAGCACTCAGCTGCTAACCGAAAGCTTAGAGGTTCAAACTCACCAGTCCCTCTCAGGGAGAAGGCATCCTAGCCTACTTCTGTAAAGGTTGGTTCAGGGCGTTCCGACCAAAGCTATCAGGGCACCACTCGGGACTATGAGAGCCCTAGTTTGGCAATCCCCATCAAAGACACAGGCAGCCAACCCCCAAGGACCTGGCTGGGAGAGGGTAGAAGGAATTCACTTTTCCAGGCAC